CCCCCCCCCCACGTTTCCATGAAGGCTCTGGAAACAAACCCTCAACTTATAACTTTTTGAGTCCTTGAACAGTCAGCTGAAATTGCATATTTAAGAACAACTACAGAGTTCTTCCATAATTCTCTTCAGCTATTCAGTATTTCACATAGTAAATACCTTCTTTTGGACCAGTGCTGCAAAACTTACTTTCATATTTCAGGAGTGAATTGCTTTGCCAGTGTTAACAGCTGTTGGAATCTTTGTCTTATGGTGGCAGCTGTTGTCTTGATGAAAAAATCAAACAGTGAAATACTGACCCTTTGAAGTCAGTGCCACTGACTTGAATAGTCACAGTGTCACCCGTAACGTAAGAGAAAGGAGCTTTATCCTGTCAGTCACGAGTGCTGTGAATAATTCTGACTCCATTCATTTTGTTTGGTTTTAGCTCAAAATTTGCAGGGAAGGCATGAAGGTCAGTTTTTGTTCTGCAACTTAAGCTGCATAACATTACTGATGGTGTATGTCTTAAAACAATTCAGTTGAGCTGACTGCATTCCTGAATATATATTAAAACTTGTAGTGAACAGATATTCTGCAGCTATTACAGGCCTGTGTGTATGATGTACACATTAACTTGGATTTATTTAGAAAATATTCCTGTAAATATGAACTAGGTATAACATAAAACATAAAGTTGCTTTGCTAGTTCTTTCTTTGATTCCTAGTACATTAAGTCCTCATCTTGTCTGATACTTTCAGAAGTTTCAGGAAGAGTAACACCAAGGTTGGATTTTCATAAATTATGTCAATGTGAAGTACATGCTTTGAGCTCCATTGTGGCCAGTGGACTTGGAACATAGTGACTGAAAATTTTTGTTGTTTTAATGTGGTCTTTTTTCAAATCATAAATATTTTAGACCTAACTTGTGACAAATCTTGGATGGAAAGCTGGCATTTTTCCCTTAAAGTGATAGCATAAGAAATGTTGGGTCTTGACCATGGAGTTCAGGAGTTAGTCTATACCAGACACTGAAATGGATTCACGATCTGAAACTACTTAAATCCTGCCTTTGTAGCAGCACCATACCATTGCAGCTAGTAACAACTGTCCATGGCCTTCCTATAAACACTTCCTTTGCTACACTGGAAATTTCTTACTGATTTAGCTGAAGGAGGAGTTAGATTTGGCTGGCTCCTCCGGGGGGAGGGATGAAACTTTAAGGGAATTTTAAAACCTATTTCAAGAGAGATACCATGAAGTTACCTTGTTCTTCTTTTCAGGAATGTCACCAGAGATGGCTGCTGACGCTGCATTAGACTACATGAAGACACGAGTTGGGGGCTTGGGCGGTGTCATTGTTGTTAGCAATTCAGGAGAGTGGGCAGCAAGGTTCTCTACCAAGCAGATGTCCTGGGCTACTGTAGAAGATGACCAGTTGCATTATGGGATTTATGCTGGGGAGATGCATACAAAATCTGTTGATGAAGCACTTATATCTGAACGTGAGGGATTTTGAGAATGAAAAAACATCAGCTGAGGAAGAATGAAGATCTCAAATTTTTGCTGCAGGACGATGACAGTTGATTTCATCTTTCTGAAAGATCTCTTTTGATTGGTTCACAGGCATCATCACATTTACAGTCAAAACAAAATCTGGACATAGTTCTACAGTGATTATAGATATTTGTATAATGTTTAATAATACCTTTGGGAAGTCAGGAGATTCTCCTTTTCTAGATAAGAAATAGAATGGCCAGTAGGTTTCTTGGTTAACATGCCTTACTCCTACATTAAAGGGAGCGTGAGCTTCAGTGTTACAGGAATTCCTTTCCATGCCTGTTCTCAGAGACTGCTGCCAGGATGATCTGAGAGATGAATGCTTAATAATTAAAAACTGAATTTGGAAAATTGCATTGCTCTCCAGAGTCTTTGAGCAGTCATCCCATGATAAAAGCGTGTTATCAGTGAAATACCACCAAACAGCAGTGAAAAATTAAGACTAAGTCATTGTTGAGGGAAGCAATAATGAAGTAAAAAACCTTTCTTCTGAGTTGGGAAATGTGATGCTTTCTAAGGAGTCCTGTTTTATTCCACTCACTGGCATTAGATCTACAATTTAAAACTAGTATTTCAATTTGTATTTGGATAGTTGAGAGGAAGGACGCCCCATCCCTGGAAGTGTTCAAGGACGTGTTGGATGGGACTTTGAGCAACCTGGTCTAGTGGGAGGTGTCCCTTCCCATGCCAGGGGGTTGGAACTAGATGGTCTTTAAGGTCCCTTCCAACACAAACCATTCTATGATTCTATGATAGGATATTATTGTCTTAATATCTGGGGTAGTAAAAGAGAAGCACCATTTCAATACAAATAAATAAACCAGCAATCTTTACTACTCAAATGAAAAAGTGATAGGCATCATTTAACTCTACATATGAGACAGAGAGATGATGAGTAACTGGAAAAATAATTATCTAAAATCAAGTTTAAAAAGCAAGCTGTACTAAATCAAATTAAACTGCCCCTTAACAAGCTTGTGTGAAGTCTGAAACTTTTCCTGGAGTTACTCTTTTTTAGAAAATAATTTATGTTCTGTATTACCACTAATACAGTTTTTTCATTAAGATTGTTTATTTAGAAAAAAAAAAAAGAACAAAATTTATTTTTCCTGTTGTCTGACTTAACTACATATTTTTTGTGTGTTAATACTGTGTAATAATTTTCTGGAATTTAGCTGGTAACTAGGTTTCCTCCATGGACAGATTGGTATGTTAGAATTGCACGCCATCGTACAGTGGAATGTTCCCTTTACAACATAACCCAAATATAAATAGCAAACATCTTGAATCATAGTTTGAAACCACTTGTACCTGTGTCCCAACTACAATAGGCCACGTTATTGATCTGGCTCATACAGAATGGTGAGGTTGCCAGGGCTGTCTAACCCGCTCTTTTCTTTGACCCGTGGTTTATTAGATGTTGCAGATGACTGGATATAGACAGTGATGGCTCATGCAAAACATAACCATGGAGGTCTTGGGTGCTTTGTTCCACAGGAGATAATGTAGAAGATGGCTACTATCTGATGATTAGCTGTTTATGAAACAATAACAGTATTTAAGATGTCTTCATCTGTAGAAAAAGTAGTCGTCTTCTAACTAAAAATTAATTTCCCCTTCTGTGTAGGAGTTATCAACCTTACAGGGCTGGACTATTCTCTGGAAAAAAAAACAACACTGGTATTGTCTTAGGTTCATTGCCAGAATATGAAGGCAATTCAGTTTGTTGTGGCTCTTTGTTCACCTCACCTGTCCCTAGTGCAAGGTCAAATTCAGAACAGGCAGTAGAACATATGATCTCCACCCATTCTGCCAAATCTCACTTTGCAGCATTGTTTTGATGAAATTGCTCAGTAATTTTTTTAATGAAAAATAATCAAACTTGAAGAATGTTTTTGAGAGCTAAGTGGTGATACATAGGCATGGATGTAGGCTATACATGAGAGCAGAAGAATGCAAATACCTTGTCTTCTACCTACATTATCAGATTAAAACCTCTGTAGAGGGCATGGTCTCAGTAACCATTCCTTGGCTTGAAGTAGCTGGAGGGAAGTGCGTTTAACCCAGTGTTACCACAATACTTGGTGTATCATCTTTGTCATGCTCTGTTTCTATGTTTTCTGAGTGGATGCAAGCTTCTTCTAGTCATGTTCCCAGCTGACCAAAACCAAGTGATGGTTAGTGTAGGAGCAAGCATAAACTAATACTGCATGGGCTAGTTTATTGGCTGGGGATTGGCACTATGCTAACCTGGTCGCTTGGCTTTTGGTTAGCTTTGAACAAGTTCACATCTGCCCAGAAGGTACCATCAACCACAGCAGCAGGACAGATACAATTTCAGGACTGTCTGAAGGAGCAGTGAGTGGTTACTGTGGTTAATTCACCTCAGCTGTTCTCAGGAATATAATGCAATACATTGCTGACACTTAACAAAGAGCATTAACCTATATATGTTCTTCTGTCACTCATCACCAGACTAGCTGGGCACCATCCAGCAGTGCATTAAGCAGTGTGACTGGTCTGGTAGGTATGATTTGTTCTGTCTCATCTGCTCCTTGGTAGCATGCTCTATAATACAGTATTGTGAAAAAATACCTGTTTGTCAAAAACATGCATGGGCTTTTGGGCCTTTTCAGTTGAAGCAGGGCTGGGAATGAGGACCTGTGCCTTGCATATGGATTGACAGCACTTGGATCAAAGATTTGATAATCCTGAGGCTGTGTGAAGGTTTCTCTGCTGTTCAATGATGGCAGCTCAGGCAAAGACCTGGTACCAGTGGTCAGGGCTCTGGGCTTTTCTTCCAGCTGGCTAACCAGGTCAGTGCTCCTCAGAAAAATACATGATTTCCACACATAGCCTGGACAGCAGGTAGACTCTTCTAGGACAGTGTTCCCTTTTGTCGTAAGAAAGTGGGATGATGGGTCAGGGATGGGGTAGACCTAACTTTTGAAGAAACTGGAGAGCTGGGTATGAAATAGCTGTTTTTCTTCTCCCTCTCTGTACCCTTTCAGTCATGTTCTTCATCTGGAACCAGACAAGGCAATCTTGCTGCTGATGTTAAGAAGTTGCTGTTGTCGCACAGAGCTACCTAAGTTTTAACATGCTTACATGTCCCCTGACCTTTGCAAATATTGAGAAACTACCCTTTGGAAGGGCTTTAACATTTAACAGCTCTTATAATTCTAGTTGAAAGATGCTGAGCTTCAGGGGGATGCTGTCAGCAGGATGGGAAGTTGTGTGCCACTGCCCTGCACTGCTGCTGGAAAAGAGCCTCTCATCCATGTGGCTGTGACCTGGATATCAAAGAAGGAAAATTTGAGGTCTGTTGCCAAGAAACTGAGTGTCCTTGGCATGTACCAAAGCAGCAACAAGAGTTTTAATTATCTAATTAAAGTGTGGTGTCCTGTTATTTTCTAGCAGCTAGAAAGCCAGTTGTGGATGGTATCCTGTTGCTCTCTTACTGCTCTGTAAGAGAGGGTACCCAACCCAAGCAGGTAGCTGCCATGGGCACACATATCAAGGCCAAGATATTAACAAAAGCAGCAGAATGGTGATCATTGACTTTGTTCTTATATTGTAACTTCTGTGCGGGCTTCTTTTCAAGTTTATAAGTAATTTTAAAACGTTCTATAGGACATCCATGTTTGGAAATTTGGGGTTATTTTTTTCAGTGGTTTACTTTGTCCTACATTTTAGCCCTGTGTCTCTGGGGTGGTTTTAATTTGAAATCTGCCTTGGCAAAGTTGAATGGCACGTGCTGTTTTGCTTGTTTCTCTCCTGATCTGCTTTTCCTTTGATATGCCCTGATGGATATTTGCTGTGGGACAGATTTCAATCTTGGTTACATTGGTGTAGGTGAAAAAGCACAGTTGCTGAAGTCTGTGATTACACTAGAGGAAGTGAAATCAGACATGGGCTTGCCTGTCCAAAACTGATAGCTCTGTCAGCATTGAAACAGCCTTTGCCAAGGAGGGAGAGAAAAGAGACAGTGAGCCTGCTGCCAGGAGCCACTGCTGGAGACAGGGCTCTGGTGTTCAGCAGTGTCAGGGTGACATGATGCCCAAGGAAATAGTTAAATACTCACACTGGGAAATAAGTGTCAAGGGATTCACATGAAAGAACCTTAAGATCACAGTAGTGAGCAGGGTCACTGGTTTAGATGTGTAAACCATGAAGGACAGGAGTCTCATTTTCCTTTCCACTGCATTCCTTACACTTGGTTTATGGGGGGCACAAAGATATCCCACAACCTCTGTGTAAAAGAGCTTTGTCAGATCTGGCCACATCTGCTTTAACATCAGTTATTTTTAACGTTCTAGCTTTTTGACCTTTAAAAGTCTCCTTGATTGAACTGAAACACATTTTCATGTGCTTCTTCTCCAAGTCCTTTTCAGCTGAGGACGGGATGGGTTCTGATGTGGTCTGTGTGGGTGTTAGCCCTGCAGCCCTGCACTTTTGACCTTCACTGCTAGGACTTTACTACAACTTACACTATGTAAATGCATGGTAGCATGCAGCTTATTAAATACTCAGCTGCTTCCAGACTTACTGGCTCTGCCTGGTCCTGCCTACTTAGCAACATAGCAGGCTGTGTCCTTAGCAACCTAGGCTGCCATGAAAGCATCACCCACATGCACTGCTTTCCAGGGTCACTGGTTTAGATGTGTAAACCATGAAGGACAGGAGTCTCATTTTCCTTTCCACTGCATTCCTTACACTTGGTTTATGGGGGGCACAAAGATATCCCACAACCTCTGTGTAAAAGAGCTTTGTCAGATCTGGCCACATCTGCTTTAACATCAGTTATTTTTAACGTTCTAGCTTTTTGACCTTTAAAAGTCTCCTTGATTGAACTGAAACACATTTTCATGTGCTTCTTCTCCAAGTCCTTTTCAGCTGAGGACGGGATGGGTTCTGATGTGGTCTGTGTGGGTGTTAGCCCTGCAGCCCTGCACTTTTGACCTTCACTGCTAGGACTTTACTACAACTTACACTATGTAAATGCATGGTAGCATGCAGCTTATTAAATACTCAGCTGCTTCCAGACTTACTGGCTCTGCCTGGTCCTGC